TCTAATGGGAATTAACATTTAGGGAAACTGACGGTGTGAAATTACCCGAAATGCAGGCTGGTAATCTGCTGGTGCTCCTCCCTTCTCACCACCTTCGCCCCCTCGAGGGCCCCCACGATAACCATCACGGTCACCAAATCTAGGACGGTCTCCTTCAAAGCGAGGTGGACCTCTAGAAACCCAAAGAAACACCCCATTTCAATTAGTATTCAGAAAAAATGAAAGGGTGAGAAGAACACTCAAATCAGCAAATTTTCAGAATAGACTAAATTACCGGGGACGGTCACCAGGTGGGCCTCCAAATGGGCGACCACCAGCAGGCTTTGCTTGTTTCTTCAAGGTGGCAGGAACAATTTCTGATGGAAGATTCAGGTATGTCCTCAAAAACTCAATCCCATCATTGGTAAGATACCAGTAGTAGTACATCCATGCAAATGTCTCACGAACATATTCCTTGGATTTGAAGCTCTGCATGAGCTTAATAACCTGGAGATTGGGTACATCAATCTCTGGGTGCTTTGCAAGGTTGAAATCTTTTTTCGCATAGCAAACTCCCTCTATAGATTCAAGAGAAAAACAAGGTAAGTGCATGCAGGTATATCATACAATATGTGATTAAGATAAACCTCATTAGTCCCACCAAGTTCACTAGAAAAAATAAGAAAACTTCATCATTCAAATTAACTGATCATGTCCAAAATAAACATAACAGGTAAAGATGCAACAAATAAAATTGACAAAGATACTCAGCATAGTCTAATTTTATATTCCAAATATTGCAAACAAAAACCAAAACAGCAAGAAACAAAGCTGCAGTTTTCAAGTAACCAGAACAAAAATCCCTCTAGTAAAATTCCCCTAATTTCAACAGATCACTAGTGGCTGGTGTGTATTTTATATCCTCCATGGAACAGATCAAAATGCTTCTACTTGTCTTTCCATTTTCAAAGGTTTGACGTCACTAACACAAGCTCTAGCAAAAACCATTAAAACTTACAACCCTAAAAGAGAAAATTAGCTTAAGGATGAGATACTGGTTGCGTTTTAGTTAAACTGTCAGTGCTATAAGACCAGGGAGAGCAAAAGACAAAACAAGATGTACCCTACCACAAGCACTCCCAAAAAAAAGAGTCCATCTTATATTTTCTAATCAAGTTGTCATCCACTTTAGAACCATTGTAGAGCTTAATGTTTTCACTTCAAGCTTTACCACGAAGCCTAATACACACGCACACAAGATGCATCCACAAATCATTTTTGTAGATTCACAAACTGTAAGAAACTGACTGAAACTATTTGTAAACATAGTTGTCTAAAGCCACAACTAGAGTTAGACATCCAAAAACCTTAAAAATAACAAAATATCTCTCATGGTTTTTCTTTCTTGGTAACTACAAATGAATCTAAATCATAAAAAGCAAACAAAAAGGGTAAAAAAAACAAAAATACCTTGAAAGAGGTACTTGGAGATCTCTCTTCTGTTCTTCTCTGGGATAATCTGAAAAGAGTGAAAGACAGCATCAAAACAGTCAGTACCTTTATGTCAAAATTTTGAAAAGAGAAGACACGGGGAGACAAGGGCATTACCATGGTTGCTAAAATGTAAGCCCCTTCTGTTTTTTGCTGCAGAGACGATGGAAGCTCTCTTCTTTTGATAGAATGCAAGGGACTTCGAAACCCTAGAGCCAACGATAGTGTTTTTTATATGGGTTTGGTTACGGGCCAGGTAAGCGGGTAACCCGGATTCTATTTGAGATTAATTTTCATATGGGCCTTTAATTGGCTTTTTAGAGGTCCTATTTTAATTTATAGCCTTTTTTTTTTATTTCTTTCTTCATTATTAGCGTATTTTCTAGAATTGTATTTATGTTTCTTGTTAGTCGGTGATCTAATTATTTAATCACCGAATATTTATTTTGAAGGCTCATATTATAAGTTTTAATATGATCTTATACTTTGAATATTTTTATTTACATCTTATATTATAAAAAAGGGATGTGGGGGATGGTTTAAAAAACTATAATAATATATAGCTAAAAATCATGTTAGTGTCTTTTTTTTTCCCTAATCTTCTACACCACATCCATTAATGTTTCCATCCCCAATATGGTAGTGTGTGTATCAACTAAAAGTTACCTTATTACTAACATAATTAATATCATCATTAATTTTATCTCAATCACTTAGGTTTTGTTTTAGTTAAATCTAGTTTTTATCTAGTTTTTTTATAAAAAGATATTATTCTTATGATTTTTCATCCAAAACACATGTCATTGGTGGATGTTATTGCCAATCAGTTTTTAGATAGTGTTTGAAAATATAATTTATATATTATTTAATAAAAAATTAAATTATTTTTATTTAAAATTATTTTTTATTTTAATATATAAATATCAAAAATAAATTTTAAAAAATAAAAAATATATTATTTTAAAATAAAAAATATTTTAAAAAAACAACTATAACCTCAATATCCACATTACCTTAATAAACATTTATCCCTGATCCAAAAATAAATGGTCGGCATATTTGTCCTTAAATTTATATATAATCCATGTGTTCTCGTGTTCAATTAACCAAACCCTCATTTCTTGCTTCCTTAATCTTTCTTACTTTCCTTGTACAATCTTCACATTCTGTACCTACATCCATCGAATCAACATCTGACACGTCACTTGTTTCGGTGTCAGTCTAAGTTCTTGGGCTGCAAGTTTTCTTCCTTCTCATATTTTCCTTCACGAATTTTTTTCTGCATCCAAGCACACTTTTCATGCCTTAAAAAACAATCCAATTTTCAGAGAAAATTTCATTTTTGGTCTTCAATCTTAAAATTGCTGGCTTCAGTGTGTTGATGAAATGGAGCACATAATCAAAAAAACAAGAAAGAGAAATGATTTTTTACGGATTTGAAGTTACATTTTAAAGTATATAGTTTTTTTTTAAAAAAAATGAGTACAGAGATTGAAGACGTTGCAAAAAAAAAAAATGAGTACAGAGATTGAAGACGTTGCAAAATCAACATCAGATGATGATACAATTCAAGAGTTCCACAAGTAATTTTAGTTCGTCTTTTTAAAAAAATTAAATTAAATTAAATGTTGTTCGATTGCTGAGAAAATGAAAGAGAAGCAGAGAAAAATGTTTTTGTTTTGTTTTGTTTTGTTTCTCTGTATTGTTAGTAGAGACTAAAAAGAGTGGTGTTATTTGTGTGATAAGAGTTTATGAAGTAGTGTTAATTTGTGTTTGGTTGCTGAGAAAATGAAAGAAATTTAGAAGAAAATTAACTTTTGTTAGTGTTTTATGAAATTATTATTAGCGGTAGTGTTTGTATTTGGTTGCCTAGAAACTGAAAGAAAATTTGAGGAAAATGAACTTTTGTTAGTGTTTTATGAAATTGTTAGTTGTAAAATGGAATTTATGTAGTGTATGTGTTTGGTTTATGAGAAAGTGAAAAAAAAAATGGAAGATCTAATGAATTGTTTCATATAAATGATATGTTGTGTTTGTGGTTTTTTGTGGAACAGAGAGACAAGATACGAATATAAGAAAGGGTTTCTTTTATCATTAGCTGAAATTGATGAATGCAAGAGGTTACCAAGTGGGTTTGATTCATCAATTTTATGGTATGTTAGCATAATTTGATCTTCTTGCTTGTCTCTGGTTTTATTGCTCTTAATTAACTTGATTTGATTGTTAATTCCCTGTGTTTCTGTCTCACAGTGAACTCAATGCTGCTGCAACTACTAGAACAACATATCTGCTTTATGATTCGGGTACGTGATTAAAGAGATGATTTGTTGTGTTTTAATGGTAATTATGTTTTTGTGTAATGTGGGATTTAAATACTTGGACTGATTTAGGTATACCACAGCCCTTTATGTTGTGATGTGTAATGCATGCATGGATGAAAGTGATTTCTAGTGATATGTAATGAATTTACGGACGCTGTTAATGACTTCACAAAAAAGATGATCAAATTATGCTAACATGCCATAAAAGCATTCGTGATGATATCTGTTTGAGACCAAGGGTATGTTTGTTAAAGTTCATTTATGTAGTCTGGATTGCGATTTATTCTAATACATGGGTGAAGATTAATGATTACTTGATGCTGTAATTGAAGTCCTGATTCATTCATCAGAGAAAGATTGGAGTTCCTTACTTGTCAAGGTTCAAGGGAGTCCTATGTTTGGTCAGCCATATATCTGCATCGAGCTTTTTTATGGGTGTTACTGAATTTAATTGCCTGTTTTGTGGGTGGCTGCTAAATGAAAGCTGAGGTTGAGTTGAATTTGGTGCAATGTTGAATGATTGGTATGATATATAATGCAGGCCGAAGGGATGGCATCCAATCTCTCGATTCATGGCTGAATCCTGCTAATGGACTGCCACAACAGAATCCTGCTAATGATCATTCACAGCAGTATCCTGCTTTTGGACATCCACAGCAGAATCCTGCAAATGGACTTCTGGGAAACAGGTATCTTCTTAGAGCACCTGTATGTGTAGCCTGGTCATCTGCTCAAAATGTTCAAAGTTGTAATCTGCTCAACAAAAGTATTGCACCATATCGGCCTCCACACCTTTATAAGGTATGCTTTGGTCTGTACACTTTTATTCAGTGCTGATGTAGAAGGGTATTTGATAGCTCAACATGACTTCCTAATTACGGAAATGGATATAATGCTAATTGCATTTTAATTTTATGGTTCAAAAGATTAATAAATTGAAAGAGTGATGTCTGGGATCTAGTGAAAATCATGTGTGCTTTCTTTCAGGTGAACCTTCTTTCTGGGGGAGAGAATAAAGATGAAAAAGATGGGGAAACATTTGGTTTTACGGAGTGTCCAAGACTTGGGACTGCAGAAGGTGAAAGAAGGGGAAGAGGTAAATTGTTCTCCTTGAGCTTTTCCATGCAGTGGATTTCCTTCCTTTCATTTTATAATTGTGGTTTCTTCCCATAAAAGTTTACGAATAAGCCTTCTAAATTCTAATGTACCTTTCTCAGATTCACCTGAATGGACTGGGAAGGAACATAAAAATGGTGTTCAAGAGAACCGAAAGAATATTTCAGATGAGCACAAAGAAAACTTGGACCCAGATGTTGCCGCTCTCCTGGATGATTTCAGAACCGAGAACAGGCTTTTAAACAAGTGCAGTCAATCAGAGGAATGGCCGCTATCATCAACACCAGGTGATGCAAGCCCTTGTTCTTCCACACCAAGAACTATAATCAGCAAACTATTACCCCATGAGATAATGAGCAGGTGCAACGAATCAGAGGAATGCTTGGTGTCGTCAAATAAATATGACGCAAGGCCCTATTATTCCATGCAAAGTTCTATTCTCAGCAAACTGTTACCCCATGAGCTGGTGAGCAAGTCTCCGGAGCAAAGTCTTGAAACAAAATCCAACAAAAAGGCTAAACAACACGAGGTCACAAGTCTTCAGTTAGTCTCTGATGAAATTTGTTTGCCTGATGAGGACAGTTTGATTACTTCTGATGACTTCAAACTACCAACGGACTTGGTGTTATTGCCTGAAAGTAACGTGACTGAAACCGATATGTTTGCTTCTAGTTCAAGAATGCCGAGAAATGTTTCTCAGATGCTAGCTGCTTTAAATATCCCATTGGATGAAAGATCTCAATCCAGCTTGGAAGTTCCCACTACCTATTCTGGTTCTGACAATATAAATGGCTTAGAGACTTCTCATGGCAATCTGCGTGCCGGGCAAGATTTCCCACAATCCCATCATTCTCAGACAAACCAAAGCCGCGCTTTGTTCTGTTCTTCAGACTCTCAAGGAGCTCGTAGGAATAAATTCATGCCCCATTTGAAGAACCTTTCTTACAACCATCATCCTATCAGCTATATTCCTTTATACATGCTTCCCCTAGACACATACGATGCATCAACCAGCTTTGACATCCCTACCATGCAACGTTTGCCCCAACAGATCCTAGTTCCTGCTGAATTTCCTCACCAAGTAAATGGATTGCCAAGGGGACCATCTTATTCCCCCATCAACGGAGTGGCTTCTTATTCTCAAGGGAACCAAATGCAAACTTCTCCTCTGAACTATTGTCATCAAACTTATAAGGACTCTATAACAACAAGTCCAGGTAAAGCACACGCCTCTTCTTAATCATATCAGCTTCAAACAAACTCCTATTTTGTTTTATACATGATTGTAGAACATGGAAATCAATTTGGACAGTGACATGTTCTATTTTCATTGCTATGTTGATAGTGTCTTTTGTTTTCAGGTTGTCATGTAGTTGCAAACAGTGATCAAGCTGCCACCAACAACAGGCTTCAAGAGATGGAACACATAACCAACCAGATGCATCCTGGCTGGCCGTGGACAGGGAGTGTTCAACAATTCAGCCGATAGTTACTGGAAAGCATCTTCTCATACATGTATCTCAAGCCATGGTATGAGAAACTCGTACTTGTAAGAATATTTCTTTAGGAATAGATTGATCCGCAGGTATGATTCCATTTTGAGTCAGTATTTGAGGAAGACACCAGATTTAGTACTACGTCTTGAAACATAAGAGGGTACATATTTCAGAAACAGAAGGGTAGGTGAATATACAGATAAAATTAGTTCGCTTAACATGCTTGTTAATCGTGAAGACATTTGCATGCTCCAGGTCACTGCAGACCCGAATTCAAATACTCACTATCATCAACCATGCCTTCCTTCTGCTGTTACAATCAACACAAAAACCTTGTGAAGATCGAACTTGTGTAGCTCCAGCGTTAACCTTAAACCTAAGTCTGTGCGTCTCAGTTACCGATCGACCAGCCAAAAATTTATCTGTATGCAGGGGCGGAGCTAGAAAAAAAAACTAAGGGGGGCAAATTAAAAATTAAAAGGAACAAAGTTAAATTTTTAATTATTTTTACAATATTTACAGGGGAGGGGGCTGGGAAAAAAATTTCCTGCAGGGGCCGGGGCCCCTGCCAGCCCCCCCCTGCCTCCGCCACTGTCTGTATGGTATGTGGTTGATAGGATGAGGGCATGATTTTCATGAGATAGACACATAAGCCCCCATAAGAAAGCCATATGAGGCCCTGACTTAATAAAAGCAAAGTTGCATATGACATCTACCAAAGATGCTCGGAGGCCAAATTCGGGGGACCTTCAAGGCTGATCAAGGGAGTCATGTTACCCAACATATTTCCCTCAATAAATCCAATACCTGCAACCTATAAGTTCTGCTGCAAATCTAGATTTATGTTTGTATACCAATGGTTTACTTGTCATTCTTGTTTAATCAATCACTATATTCTATATGGAGCCCATGAGCGCTTAGCCGACAACCCTAACCTGACCAGGAGAAGGAAAGCTTCATGGGGTCGGCACTTCTCATCATTACACCCCTCTCCATCACACGAATGAGAGGACACAAGTGTAAGGAAGGAGAGGTACCATCTCGAGGTGCGAAGAACAATGGGAACACGGGTAAGATGAAAGAGATGAAGAATTCCATTTCAAATGAACAAGTATAAAAGAAAATTTTCAATGTTTGAAGTAGCGGATTACAACTTCATCAAAAGGCCGTGCATGTAGCCAAATAATATACATATACCCTATTGAGCAAGAGACGGTACAGGTTTTAAGATTTGTACCCTCGTGCGTGACGTCACAATGATCCTTTCCACATGAGGATCTTTTCAGATGAGAGGATATAGAAGATTTTTTTTAATATTATGATTATTAAAAATTTTAATTAGTTTTTTTTTAGAAATTTTAGACAAAAAAAATGGTGACATAAAAAAAAGTCATTAATACTTATAGCATGCTTTATCTAAAATAAATAGTATTATTTTTTTATTCATTATGATTTGATAGTATCTATTTTTACTGACTTATTATAATAAGTTTGTTATGATAAATAAGCTCTAGTTTTCTAGACCAAGAACTTGATCTAAAAAAGTGAAATATCTTTAATTATTGTTGAGGAATCGTAATACTGAAATTTCTACTACTATATTATTTCAAAAAGCATTTCAGATGAAATTCTCTACAGATTTTATCTTTATATTAAAAATGAATAAATTATATTATTTATAATAATATTTTGAATATTAACCTCATATAGTTTTTTTATCATTATATTAAACTAAGTAATAAAAATACTATTCCTAATAATATTTTGAATATTAACTTTTTTTAAGTTTTTTTATCCTTATGTTAAAATTAAATAATATTTATTATCCCTAATAATATTTTGGATAGGTTTTAAATTATTTTATTAATAGTGAATACTATTTTCTTACTACAAATATTTTTTTAATATTTTTTAAGTATAGGTCAAAATCCTTTGGAATTTTACAAACCTGGTAAAATCCATGCACTTTTTGTTTTAAATATGCAAAACTATTTTGAATTTTCTTTAAAAAAAAATGCTCAAATAACTTTAGGATTTTTCGGCTATGTGCAAGAAAAAAAAATTATTTTATTTTTTTTTTAGGCTTTGTTTGACAAAAATTCATTTTTTCTTGTAATAAAACTACCTAAAATAAGCTTAATAGATGTTTGTCAAATATATCCTTAATCAAAAAACCTTTTTAACAAAAACATAACAAACCAAACAGGTTATTAAAACCCTTTGACCTAGATAATTTTTGACTGGGTTAACCCAACCGAGTTGATTCGATCAAGTTGACTTGAAATTTTTTATTCAACCAAAAACCGATATAAAAATCTTGGTTTAATTCGAAAACAAGCCAAAAACAAAACCAAAGTAAAAAAAAAAAAGATTAAACACAAGAAAAACATAAAAACCAAAAAATTCTTGAACAAAATAAATTAAACACCACACAAAAATGAAGAATACCAAGTACATCAAAAAAACCAAACATGAACCCAATAACTTGAGTTCTAAAACAAACCAGATTTGATATAAAAAAGGCGCATATATGTTAAAAATCATACAAAGATCAATAATATAAAATCTATTCACTTTGATTTTAATTTAAATATCACAATTTTATCAAAATAAGTTTCCTTAAATATCACAATTTTGTCAAAATAAGTTTCGGTTTAAAACTAAAATTCTAGAATTAAAAACCATAAAAAAAAAATGTTATTGATGACAATAAACTACAAATTATATAATAATTATGTATAAGAAAATATTATGTGCAAAGAAATTGACTAAAATTGATCTAAATTAAAAGTTTAAGATAATGTTTTTCATAATAGTATGAAAAATATTGCCTACAAACCTAGAAAAAATGCATGAGACAACCACCATCAAGCCTAAAATTGGATATTTTTGGCATCTAAAGCATGTTTTCTATCTCAACAAGTCACAATATCAAACACAAATATATTTGAATTAAAAAAAATCAAAATCAAACATGAGATATTACATTAAAAAACAAATAACCTACATATTCATGCAATATAGATTTAAAATTGATTTTCTAAGTTCATTTCGTATGTTAACAGGCTTAACAAGCTAAAGATAAATACTTTCACTTTAACATGTATTATTTAAGTCAAACAAAAACTACAACAACATTATATGATAAAAAAAAATAACTTTAAAATGACTTCATTAAATAAAAATCATAGCAACAAAAAGGTTAATACCATATTGTTTGTGAAGCATTTAAACTATTTTTCTATGCTTATAAACAGAAGTATAAAACGAAAAACAACAACAAAAGCAAGCCTTTAAGAACCTACTTTTGAACAAAAAAACATACCTAGAATAACATCTTCTTTTTTCTCTCCTCTCCTCTCTAAGCTTTGAGGTATTTATAGGGTTTTGTAAAAGTTTTAGAAGGTTTTGAATATATTTTTGATCTTTTAATCTTGAAGAAAGTATGGAAAATCCTTGATAAGGATTCATTTTATTTGTATCTTATCTTACTCAATTTAAAAATTTATAACTTTATATTTATGTATTTGAAGTTGTCAACTCAATCAGCTAAAATTATAAAAATAAGACATCAATCAACTAAACAATGTGTCACTCATCTTCTCTTTTTTAAATTTGAAAGACACATTCTTTAGGGTTTTTGATTTGGAATTGACAAATTTCAATTGAACCCATATTTTTTCAAAAAAATTTAATTGTATCCATAATCACATTTAGATTTTTAATTTGATACAATTTCACCTCTAACAAACTAAATTATCAATCTCTAAGTTGGTTATTTTTTTCATTTTGATATTTAGTTTTGAATTTGTGTATTTTAACCCTTAATTAACCAACAAACCTCAAATTTTTTTAATCTAGCTCTTGATTTAGTTAAATTCAATCCCTACATTCACACGAAAAACTTTAATCTAGCTCTTGATTTAGCTCTTGATTTAGTTAAATTCAATCCCTACATTCACACGTTTTTTCTCGTTTAGTCATTGGTCTTGAATTTGTTTAATTAAATATCCAATTGTACATTAAATTTTAATATTTATGTAATTAAACTCTTGATTTAATTTAATTAATTTCTAAAAATTACAATTTAACCCCTAAATTTTAGTTTTTTCTGATTAAAGTCTAAATTAACTTTAAAAATTATTTTTTCTTGCAATTAAATTCAAATAAACCTCTTATTATATTCAAATAAACCTTAAAAAATTCTAATTGAGTCCCAACATTCAATTTTAATTTTTTTTCCTTGAACTTTTTTTTTATTAATAAAACCTTCATTAATAAAAAAGATATATTGTCAAATTTTTCAATCTTACATATTTAATTCCTCACCAGTTTCATCAATTTCCTGTGCATTTTGGTATACTTTTCTCATTGAAATATTTTTTTTATTTTTTTCAATATTTTTTTATCCTTTTTTTATTTTTATTCTTTTTTTGTATAGTGCCCTAAAATAAGTAACAACAGAAAGGATGAATGTTGCTTACATGGTGAAAGTCAAAACTTGTGATTTGGCACTATACATGCTGACCATGAGATCACTATACACTCTTGAACTATTTATTATACATTATGGTGGATTTTCCCTTTCCCATATATACATAGGAGGAGGACAAAAGTTACTACTTACAAACTCTGCAATTGATGGCCTAACAAACATGTGAAGCTGGTGACAGAAAAACTGAAGCAGATGCCTTTAATAGCTGGCATTAAAGTTTTCCGATCGCTATCTTTTTCCTGGCAAACCAGCTAATAAACGTCGGTAATAGTTGTCTGAAAAACAAACATGATGCACATGCAACAACGCTGAAATATTGTTTGACCTTGTTTCCCCACCAAAATTAAGCAACATTCATTGATTGGTCCGCATTATTGTTGGCACCAATGGTTTCTGAGTCGATCTCCTGGGAAGAGAGCAAGTTTCTCTGCATTAATAGGATAGAGCACGTCAAAATACAAGATTGAATTAGCTGGTTTTGATAAAACAGTATTTTTGGCGAGCTACATTCTGGGACAAAAGATACTAGTGATAAAACAGGCCATGGGCATTTGAAAAAAATCAGTTGGCCATCCATATGAACAACTAGACCCCACCCGTGGCAAATGAAGGAAATAGAATGAATGGAGAGGCCCATTGACTGATCATGGCCTCCAAACCCATGGCTGGTTATACATACTAACAAGTTTCTTTCTACGACATGATTTATCTTGTGAGCTATTAGGTTCCGGTACGTCCTACAGAGATGAAAACAGGAAAGGCCAGTTTGCTATCTGATGCACGACACACGGTCTAAACTCTCAAGTACACTTGATGTAATTGCAAAAGAGAACATTGCCCCATTGAGCACAATATATTTTTCATATGGTGCCATGTTTCATTATTAAGTGCATGCACAGACACGAATACATGATATTATAACTGACGCACGACACAAGGAGTGTCTAAACTCTCAAGTACACTTGATGTGATTGCAAAAGAGAACATTGCCTCATTGAGCACAAGATATTTTCCATATGATGCCATGTATGTTTCATTATTACGTGCATGCAGACACGAATACATGATATTATTAAAACTTGAGCCGACGAAACAGCAGTAAGCAATAAACAGAATTACATTTTTGAAAGGGCACTTACATGTTCCTCAAAACTTGGGCTGGCAAGATTGAGTGAGAGGTTTCTCATCAGCAATAGCACCTGCAAAGAAACCACGAAGAAAAATAAATGAAATTTTAAACAGTGAGAGATGTGTAGTGCACAATAACCTTATAACAATAGAAAAACAAAATGGTAGAGGTTGGGCACAAACATACCGTGTCAACATCTATAGGGTCCATTTTCTTAAGATTCTGCAATTGATCAGTAACATTCGGATCAAAGACACTGCCGATGAAGCCATATACCTGAGAAAAGTCTGGCAGAACTGCAAACAAAGGGACAGTGTGAGTGATAAAAACTGAGTGCAAATGAAACACAAAATTAAAAACTAGCATAAAGAGAGAAACTCATCAAGGCTGTCTATGTCAAAAAAAAAGGTCTAAAGAGAAAAAGGGACCCAAAAGGGAGCATATATGTAAAAATGCAAAAAAGTCTGTCTTATGCAGAAAGGTCTAAATTCATGGTAACCACTTAAACATTCTAACTGAATGACAGAACAAAATTAGACTGCATCCATCTATATAACCCTCTAATAAGATGCGCTGATGCACCATGTGTAAGGGAGCAACC